CTTCTTCCTTCTCCCTCCCCTCCTTCTTCCTTCTCCTTCCCCCCCTTCCTTCTCCTCGGCCCTCCCCCCTTCTTTCCTTTCACCTCCTTCCCCAAAATTACCCTCTGCTTAAGTAACTGTGTATATCCTCTGTATGGTCACTTGGAGTATGTGGTATATCCTCTGTATGGTCACTTGGAGTATGTGGTATATCCTCTGTATGGTGACTTGGAGTATGTGGTATATCCTCTGTATGGTCACTTGGAGTATGTGTCCTCTCCATCTAGGATCAGAATTTTCATCTCTAGGAGGAGAGTCATCCAGCATGTTGCCCCACTCAATATGGCCGCCACAGTCGAAAGCGGCCTCCCGCGCAGGCGCAGTGAAGAGTAATGCCGAACCTGAGTGTTCAGGAAAATGGCGCATGCGCACTAGTCAACTCTCCTAAAATCGATTGCTGGCAAGCCAACCGGACGTGACGTCAAATGAGCTCTAGAATTGGTGTTATAGACAGAACACGCCCCCCTGCAGATTCACTCCTCCTCTTCTGTCGGTCAAGCCCATAGCCTTACCCCACCCCCTCTTCTGTCGGCCCCGCCCTCCTAACTCCTCCACGCTCCTTATTTCGGGAGCAATAAAGTTGGTTGTGATCACGTGTCTGTCAAAATGGCGGCGCTCTTGACCACCGGGCCCTGGAGGGCTGTCGGAGGGCCACTGAGGTGGTGTTGGAGTCTGTCAGGGGCCAGGGGGCGGAGCCTGTACTGCGAGGATTTTGAGTTTTATGACGGGCGGGTGGGAGGAGCCTCTAGGGTGAGAGAGGCGGGGTTTCGGGATGTTAAAGTCCAGTACTGGGGGCCCTTGTGGTTGGGGGTGTCCAGTGGCAGTGAGGGGCCCCCGGTTGCCAGGCCATATCATCTGGGGCCCCAGGTTTTTGGGGTCCGTTACCTACACTATGGGGTCTGTCAGGGGCCCCGGGGTGTCTTGTGTTCTCATTGGGGGGCCCGTTCCTTACATTCAGGGGTGTCAGAGCCCGGGGTTGGTCAGTTTCGGGGCACTCTGTATATTGGGGTGCTGATCGGGGCCGGCCTGGGATTTGGGGTTTGGCTCCTGGGGGCCCCAAAGGTAGAAGCAGCCAAACCAGCTGACATTCTGGGAGAGGGGCTCCGACCGCGACAAATGTTCAACTTCATCGCTGATGTCGCCGAGAAAACGGCCCCCGCCGTGGTCAACATCGAGATCGTGGGCCGGTGAGTGCGGGGACCGCCCCCTCTGCTATGGGACCGCCCACCACCTGACATGACCACTCAACATGTGACCGCCCCCTTTCCCATGGGACCGCCCACCACCTGACATGTGACTGCCTCCCTCTGTTATGGGACCGCCCACCACCTGACATGACCACTCAACATGTGACCGCCCCCTTTCCCATGGGACCGCCCACCACCTGACATGACCCCTCAACATGTGACCACCCCCTTTCCCATGGGACCGCCCACCCCCTGACATGTGACTGCCTCCCTCTGCTATGGGACCACCTGACATGTGACCGCCCCCCTCTGCTATGCGACCGCCCACCACCTGACATCTGACCGCTTCCCTCTGCGATGCGCCCGCCCACCACCTGACATGTGACCGCCCCCCTCTGCTATGCGACCGCCCACCACCTGACATCTGACCGCTTCCCTCTGCGATGCGACCGCCCCCAACCTGACATGTGACCGCCCCCCTCTGCTATGCGACCGCCCACCACCTGACATGTGACCGCCCCCCTCTGCTATGCGACCGCCCACCACCTGACATGTGACCGCTTCCCTCTGCTATGCGACCGCCCACCACCTGACATGTGACCGCTTCCCTCTGCTATGGGACCGCCCACCACCTGACATGTGACCGCTTCCCTCTGCTATGGGACCGCCCACCACCTGACATGTGTCTGTCCTATCAAAGATTGTGACTCGGTTGGAATGTGTGATCGGTGACATGGTCACACATTTTAACATAGTCACGCCCACTTTTTCAGCGTTGGAATATGTGACTGGCAAAAGGTGAAGCATTCCAATGCGTTGTCAGCTGTTTCAGGGCAGATCCACCCGGCATGTGACCGCCCACCACCCGGCATGTGACCGCCCACCACCCGGCATGTGACTGCCCGGCATGTGACCGCCCACCACCCGGCATGTGACCGCCCACCACCCGGCATGTGAC